TGAGCTCTGGCAATGATTTGAACCCTGACTGGGCTGGGGATCCCTTGCCTGTCCTGGATCACCACTCAAGGTGATCCAAAGCTATCACATTGGGCACACGCAGGGTACACGAGATAGCAGCTATGATATGCTTGTTGTCACCGCACGCTGACAGCGGAGGCATGAGGCTTTGATACTACGTAGTATTTGCAAGAGAAAAGAGCATCAGGTATCCACGGCAGGTGGGACGAAAAGGGGCCAAGCAAAGAACTCGTGACCCCGCAACACCTTTTAACTTCTGCTGATGCTGAAAGGGGTGAGCCCCTGACAGGCACAGCAGAGCGGTAGGGGTGGAGAGGAGGACACGGTGCCACCTCTGGCCTCAGGAGAGTGACAGAGACCAGCTGAGCCTTTTGCCTTTCTCTTACAGCCCAGACTTTTTCTTAGCTTCATCTTACTTTCAGCAGAGGTTTCCTGTTCTTTCATTATTACGGAGAAGGGAGAGAAAACTGAAGCCTAAGGGCCTTTGTGCTTCATAATTCACTTAGCAAGTGAACCGTGGGCACAGAACAACTGAAGTCACGACCCCTCAGCGGTCTAGATTGCCACAAATTTTTCCCCTCCCACTCTGTCCAGATGAAACAAAGGTCCCATTTCCCACCCTTTTGATTTGAACCATGAACTCTCACTTACCTAAATGGGAAAGCAAGCCACTCATCACGACCCAAGAAAGACTCTTTGATGCTTGGCTATTGCTGGAAAGGGAGCAGTCTATTTTTTTTTGACCTTTGAAATTTCTCCCTTATAGAATAATTTATGTTTTTCTACCCATTACAGAAGAAAGTTGACCTGCTGTAGCTTTTTTAGCCACACGTCTTTGTTCCAAACATTTCAGTTCCATATCTTATATTTTTTGTAAACTCAGCAGATAAACTGTAAAAACAGCAAATTAAATTGCACAGCCTTGGTGGCTGAGACTACCATCAAAACGATCAAACATATTGAGAAAAGACTGTGGTTTTCCCCGACGCTCACATAACAGGTCTCCTTAATTGACTAGAAAGCTTGCTGGCGCAGAAAACGAATGAATTAGAAATAAATTGGCTTTCTTCCGTTATTAATGTCTCCATTGTTTTCTTATACATCAGGTTAATTTAATGTTACTGAAAATGAGGATTAAAAGCCTCAATTACTGGAAGGAGGCAGGGAGCGAGAGAGGCTTAACAAGGAGCTCCTGAAGCTCCCCGGAGTCGCTGGCCCGCCGCGAGGGCTGGCGGCGGCGCGCTAGGGGAAGGCAAATCCTCGTGGAGCGGGGCAGGCGCTTCCCGCCGGCCCGAGGAGCCCGGCCCGGCAGCAGCGGGGGGGACGGCGAGCGCTGGAGGGCCCCTGCGGAGGCACCGGGGTGTGCTGGGTCCCAGCCCCAGCCCGGCTGCCGCTGCCCCCCGATGCTGTTCCTCAGCGCTGTTTCACAGCCCCCGGTGTGCATACAGCGGTGACTCCCAAACTGTCACAGCACTTACTTCATTTCCATCCTTTCCTCAAGGATTGCTCCCAGTACACATGTATTTGAACCACAAAAATCAATTTAGAGAGGACAAAAAAGATCCGGCAGACTCAGGAAGGATCAAGAGGTGAGTAGACAGGGAGCCTGAACACATTCAAAAGATATAGAGGAGAGACAACAGAAAAAAATTACATTACAGCTAGCACTACATGCAGAATAAAGGAGGGCTGCATCAACCCAGTGTTGCACGCTGCATCCTTCCCGCAGGATTCAGCGTGCCTGGTGCAGCTCCGTGACAGCAGTGGACCAGCGCTGATGTGGGTATACGGTGCCTATATGCCAGCAAGCACACACGACAGCAGCAACCTACAGATGAATTTTAGGACAGAGTTGCCACACTCTTGTTGGGCTAGCAGGACAAATTTTGTTTGGTCTCCCTGTTAGAAGCGCACCATGCGCCGGGATTTCCTACATGTGGAACGTTTCTTCCTCACCAAACCACTAGCGAAGCTGTCGGTCTCCTGGGCTTCAGCACAAAAGTGCAGCATTAACACCCACCAAAAATATCCTGCCTGAGCTAGAGAAAATAAACCCTTGTGTCAGAGCCACTGACATAAAGCTGGAAGAGCTCGGCTGCAGTCGCTGGACCAGCTCGAGATTTACCAACGTACTCAGGAAAGCTAAATTCGCCTAAAGTTCAGCAAAGAGAAAAGTACATTCAGCGTTTGCTTCCCCAGAAGAACGGCACTTGCCAACTTCTCTTTAACAGGAGAGGCCAGATTTACAGCGTAGCTGTTGACTGCAGCGGACGCATGCCAAGGACAACGTTGCTGGGGGTGCTGACCTCCCCCAGCGCTGGCCCGGGGGGAGGCTGCTCCCTGCCTCGGCACCGCGTCCTGCCCCGCGGAAAGCGCTCCTCTGCTCTCCTCCGCTCGCTTGCGGACCAGGCAGAAGGCACCAGCACGGCAGCCAGGAATAAAGGAGTGAAAGCAACAGCAGCAGCGCCTGTAACTTGGGTTAAGGAGACCCCACGGAGAGCTCTCCTGCTTTTCCTAACTCCCATATTCAGTAACCCCCGCTCGCCGCACACTCCTCCTCTTGCTGTGATTTCCGTCTCCAGACCAGGCCTCAGCCCCCGGCTCCCCGTACTGCCCGACCCCACCGAGAGCAGCCTTCCCTTTGGGCTGCCACTGCTTACCATAATCTCCCGCGGAGCCACAGCAGCATTCCCATTTTATTTTTTATTCAGCGGAGCTGTCCAATTAATTGAGGCACATTTAAGGCAGTTTTTTGAGTTAGCTCCAGTGAGAGGCAGCAGGGACTGTTCTACAAAGTTAGAAATTACAGCAGGCAGCGCAACTAAAAAAGCGGTTTGGTTAAGTTCAGCGGACAATTTGCTCAATAGGTAGACTGGAGGAAAGCAGATACAACATAAGGGAATGTTATACTCCTTTTATAAATATATACACAAATTTATAAATATGCATTTATAAAATACATTTAAGGGAGCGCAAAATGCAGGCTGCCTGAAGCCTTCACAGACGCATGCATACTAGAAAGTTAGCCACAACAAAGTTAAGAACATGCCTTCCTAGAAAAAAATCACTTCCAACAGTCAGTCTGCAGTGTTATCCGTTCTGGTTTGTTAATTGTCCCTGCTCAATTTTTGCCCTGCTAATTCCCTGTGGCAGATCCGTATCAGGCTGTTCTGCCTCACCTTGGCCATGTTATCACCTTGGCCAAAACCCCCCCAACAACTCAAATGCCAGCAAAGGTTCTTCCCGGCTGACAGCAGCGAGCTTCAGACCGACACCACCCCCAGTGCCCAGACGGGCTGTTGTGGGCGCGCTTGGACGCCGAGCACCGTTACCCCCGAACTAATGGTCACTGTCAGATTATAAATTATTTACTGAGTCCAGTGGAAATGGCTCCAGCAAGGATGCAAAGCCACAGCACCTCTGGGCATAGCTTATCAAAACTCCCCTCTTCAGTTTCCTACTGGCTTCCGCTTGCTTTGCAGCATTAAGTCAGAAGGAGCAGCCTTGCCCGTCCAGACCCCTGCACCCACCTCCCTCCCCTGCATCGCGGGGTTTGCCAGGCCAGCCCAGGAGACCACCATGTCTGCCCTGCTTACCCCCTTGCTCGCCCTCCTCCTCGCGCAGCGTTGAGGTACAGCGCATCATCTGGGGCCGCAGCAGCTCCCGCTCCCAACCCGCCGCCAGCCGTGCTCAGCAACAGGAGAGGAGGCAAGGACCACCGCAGGTCCCATCACACCCACCTGTGCACCCAGCTCTCTCCCTTGTATCACCCTCTCACTTCCCTCTTGCTGCCCAGGTGCCAACCAGCATCTGCAAGTCACAAAAACCACTTTCCGGAGCAGACCTGCAGTTGCTGGCCCTGCAACCGTAACATACCTACTTTGGCTGCTGCTCAGAGCAAGCGCTGCCTCCCGTTTGTGTTTAAGCAGCGCTGAGCTGTCAGCTGGCATCTCCAGTCAGCTCCTGCCCAGCAGCAGTGCGCACATGGGAATTGTGACAGGAGCACGAGGCTCTGCCAACATCAGGGAGGTACACACCCGCTCATGGGAAATGCAACGGCTCCCGAAGCACGGTGAAACACAGCGAGCTCTGTCAGCTTGCGTGAGAGGGGCTTCAATTATTCAGTGTAATACCATTAAGCATGCATATAAGACTGGGTTCTCTCATGTTAGTCCTTTTAAAAACCCAGAAGGAAATTGCACAGTGATTAAAGAAGTGTGAAGTAAAGGTTACAGAGATAGGGATGGTCTAGAAAATATATGAAACATTGTCTTCCATTAGTGAATCCATCCTGCAGAAGGGGAGAAATGGGGCCCTTTCACCCCTACAGATGCATGCGTAACACAGCATTTTTACTAGGTACATCCTGCACTTAAAATAAATATACATTCACTGTTACAAGCATATTTTCGATGCAGTTTTCCTTTGACTTGAATTCCTTAGTCTTCTAGGATATGTTGTAGACAGCTAAACCTCACGTCGTCATTTTTTTTTTCCATCTCTAAATTATTCAGTGTTTTCCCCATGCTAGGGACTGTTCTTCTACCTGTAAAGCGCCCTCTTTCTCTTAGAGAAAAGGGAATATGCTAAATAGGGTCTAACTCAAGTAATTGGCATGAAAAAGTGGAGAAACAGATCCTGAAATCTCTCTTTAAATCTCTCCCAGGAATCCCACTTCTGACTTGTCTCCTAGGTTCATGATTATCACATCCATTGACACCACCAGGATTGTAACACCATGTTTGGAAACTCCTGCCCTGCCCTAATCTCTCTTTCTCTCTCCTTATCCCTCCCTGGCTGCCACCTGCTCTCCCGCACACCCCAGTGCACCCAGACAGCTGGCCCTGTACGGTCTTGGCTTTGCTGCTTTCCTACATTGACCCAACGTTTTGCTGTGGCTCTGAAAAACACTGGACAAATTTCTAGCATGCTAGGTAAGATTAAATAATCACAGTCAAAGAGGTAACATAGCACTCTACGCTTTATTAAGAAACCTCAAAACTTTACAGAACACAGGAGAAGATAGGTCTTTTTGTCAAGCGTCCAATGAATCAAGTAGAAAATGATCACCTATCTCTGACAACAGACCTGCAGAGCTAGATCTGTGATAGGTAAAACCCACATAGCGGCTCTTCCTCTCTTTAGGACTCCATCACATCGTAATATGTTTTCTGAAGAGCATGGCACAGCATGAAGGTACGCAGCCTTGGAAACCATCACCGGGAGCGCACGCGCGCTTGTCACTCCAAACCTCAAACATCACATCTCCTGTGCACACCTTTCCCCTGGCAGTTTCCACCTCCCTCTTGACTGCGCTGTGGCAATGGGAGTGCCAAGACCCACCAGGGTGACGGTGCCTGCTTCCCCTTCGGCCCTCCAGCGACGAGGCCAGGAGGCAGGGTGCGAGCTGCCGCCTGCGCTGTCGCTGCCGCGTGGAGACAGCACTCTGAATACATGCAGCGAGCGGCTCTACCGACAGAGGTTTGGGCGCGATCGCACAGCTGCCTCCCAGAGCAGGCCCACGCTTATTCGGAGCAAAGTGACAGAATGCAAGTTAGGAGGTGACACAGCTTTGACACACCAATCCAACACCTCGAAGCTGTGGTTGAGGTATAATCCTGTTTCCTTTCCTCGCCTATCCCCAGCAGAAAACTATTCTCCCTCCCATTTTTTTTTTAATTGTTTAGTTTTCTGTAGGTTTAGATCCCCGGACTGAAGGGTACATGGGCTCCATTGCCAGGACAAAAACAACTACAAGAACATGTAGGCATGGAGCGGGGACTGTCCTACTCCCCAGCTGCAACTCTTTAGATAGACTTAGCTTTACCTTTAAACCCTCACCAGAAAGCTGGACCTTCCCGAAGCCCGAACTAACACGCTGCAATCACACCACTCCCAAGTCCCACTGGGCTACACAGTCCACTAGTAACAAAGAATTCAGTTTGCACTTTTTCAGGTAATTGAGTTCCCCCAGTGCAATATGGGTCGCATTCATCTGGCACAGATGCAAGTGCTGAACACTACTAAAATTATCCCGAACCATGCTGCAGGAACACTCTGCTGTTACACATCTCTGCTGTTTGTCACCTTCTGCCTGTCCTTGGACGGGCAGAAGCCATCACAAAGCAAACCTGAGTTAGAAGCTAACAAGAGGCAATCAGTAGGCACTTTCCAGAGAAATTCTCATCTTCATGTAAAGCAAATTCAGATATATTTAAGGAAAAAAAAACCTCTATTTCTGTTTTTTGGGAAGGTAAATACAATGATCAGATTTTGCTTTTCTTTTCATAACTTCATCCTCAGTCATGCTCTTCCTGTCTCTCTCCCTTTAAGATTTAGTTAATCCTACTTGAGAAAACAAAACTGTTGATCAAGACTGCAGTTATTCAGGCATCCGTTGCTTTTAAATTACTTCATTTCTCCTGTCCTTTCTACCCTTCAGTATTCTGACAGTTCTCTCCTAGACTCTAACTTCTCTTGTCTTCTGCTCTATAAAATCCAATTAGGATTTCCATCATCCTGCTGGTAATTGCACACTGGTCTAACAAAGACTAGCCTGTTTGTGGTTTTATTTTGTTAAGTATCATAAGGCCTGGCAACGGAAGAGTCTTACTGGAGCATACACATAGCTCAAACAATTCTTTGCAAGTGTTTCCTTTTTGTGTGTACGATGCCAATTTGGGCAAAGGCCAATGTAGAAATTTTTTCTTCAAAAATATTTCCAAAAAAATGTTGCTATGTTTTGATTCATGCATAAAATTGACAATTTTGATAGTTTTTAAGTATCAACAACAGGGAAAGTAAGAAGGAACACAGGTGGGTGCAAGTGTTGCAACCGTACCACTACCTTGGGCCAATACTCTCACACCAGCTGAGGACAAGCCCCTGCAGGTGGTTACTGTGCTCAAAGGAGCTAGAAGCTCTAACACTATCTGAACATATCTCTAGTTATTTCTTAACATTTTATAACGGCAGAAGGATTTGTATGGCTTACTCCTATTTATTGCACAATAATCCTCCAATATACGCTGCATTAAAAAAAATAAACCTTTCTGTAAATAGTGTTATTTTTCCTGCTTTGCCTTCAGCCTCCTTAGTATCTCTCCATGGAAAATAAGCATCCCTCCGTCTCAGTAAGCCCTCTACTGACATTTTTTCACAGTTACAAAGGTAAGCTAAGCATCAGTGGTCACAGCACAAAGAAACACAATATGCAGACTGCGTTCACTGTGTTTCCAGATTAAAGCACTTAGCTATCATTTGGAAGAGATCAGTCCATCTGGCACATTTGTTTTCAGTCATATAAAGAATTCCTCCTCCTCCTCCTCAGTTCTGTTTCCAGGGCTGGCTCTCGATATTTGCAAGTGAAAGCCTGAAGCTCTTTGCCCATCTCCTTTATTCCTTTTGGCTGCAAAAGAGGACAGATGGGTTCTGTCCTCGGAGGGTAAGCTGATGCTGGAGCCAGCGGCGGCCAGGGAATAGCTGGGTGCTGGTGGCTGGAGAAGGCTGGTCCGCAAATCCCTGGAAAAGCGGTT